GAGTGCGAGGCGCAGCGTGAGTCCTGAGTTCTGCCCCAACTCTTTTCCGGCCCTTCTTTGGCGCCACTCGCCGCCCCTGGGTCCCTTTTGCAACCCAGTTGTCTTCTTCAGGGAACTGGGGACTGGAGAACCCTCACCAGATACCCCAGAGTCCCACTCCGGGAAGCTAGGGAATGCCACTGACTGCTGCCCCGGCCCCACTCTAGTTTCACTCGTGGGCCTTAGCTCCCTCCCATGATCCAGCTACCCGCTTCAAGAAGACTGAGGACGTTGGACTACTCTGCAGTCCTGCCTTGGCACTCCAGGACCCTTTTCCCTTCCTAGCATTCTTTCTGCCCCAAATAGAAACCCCACACACATTTCCCATGCTGGTATCCCCCCTTCCTCCCCTAACCCGCACCCATTTCCAGATGCTAGGACCAACAGAGCTCTTCCAATTCTGGGGCCCTCCCTACCCCCACCCAGGCGCTTTGGAAACCCCTTGGAGTTCCCCTTCGCCCCCTAAAGGATCCTTCATCCTCCCTCCCTGCAAATGCAGGCCAGACCCCATTGCCTTCTAAAGCTTGGGATCTCGGACCTCCATCCTGGGAATCCTCAGACAGCTCCCCAAATGTCTGAGCCCCACCAAAGCTCCTAGGACTCCTAGGCTAATCCAGCTCTTCCCAGACCTGCTCTAATCCAAGACCCTCCCATTTCCCATAAAAAGCCAGGGTCCCTCTCCAACCCTCAGATGCTCTTCCCTCATTCTCCCCTTTCTAAGCTCAGACCTGTGAGCTCCAACATTCTTCATCCCCCAGCACAGACTCTGGAGCCGGTGGCCTGTGTTCTTCTCGCACTCCTTTACTTTCTAGCTGGGCGAGTCATTCCACCTCTCTAGGCACCAGTTTCCCTGTCTGTTAACTGGGGGTTACAATACCATGTAGCCTAGAGGGTTGTGTCACAGGATGAAACAAGATGGTGCACAGAGAGCCCTTAGAAACAACTTTGCCCTCATCAATATTCCTTTTCCCTCTGCCTCTCTGTCCCCCATAGCGGCATGTCGAGCCGGCTGCAGCCCAGAGCATGGCTTCTGTGAGCAGCCTGATGAATGCCAATGCCTGGAAGGCTGGACTGGGCCCCTCTGCACCATCCCTGTCTCCAGCAGTACCTGTCTCAGCTCCAGGGGCCCGTTCTCTGCTGTCACTGGATGCCTCATGCCTGGTCCTGGGCCTTGTGATGGGAATCCTTGTGCCAACGGGGGCAGCTGTAGTGTTAGTATCACCCCTTCCCACCTCTTCCTGATAAGTAACCCTGGGAGTTCCCACCATCCCCTGACTGGGGTTCCATGAGACAACACCTGGGGAAGGCTGGGTTAGCTGTCAGGGGAGGGCTTCTAGAGCTGTCCAGTCTGCATCTAGGATGGGGTGCTAGGAATGGGGTTGGGGAGAGTAGACCCCGTAGATGGCACCTTAGGGTGTAGTGTGGGAATGATGAGTCCTGAGGGGCCACAAACTGTCTGTCCTGTGGGACGGAGAACAACTCTGGACTCAAGGTGTGGAGTGGTGGGACCAGATGGCGTGGGACTTGGGGTGGGGGCATATCGGAGAGGGCTTCCTGGAGATGAGCCCAGGGCTGGGGCTTCTGAAATCCAATTTGGCCGAGGGGAGGTGACTGCAGAGGGTAGACCAGGTAAGTGGCCTGGGGTAAGCAAAGGTGTGGCTGTGGGAGTGAGCCTGGTGTGTGCTGGGATAATGTGGACCCCTGGACACTACCAGCATGGAACAGGGAGACATACTCAGGGTTCAAGTTAGGGGAAGGGCCTTCTAAGGGGAGATCTAAGGAAGGATCCGTGGAGGAGGCTGGCTCAGAGCTAGGAGCTCAGGATTGGCTATGCAGACAGAATTGGGGAGGGCAGACTAGGCAGGCAGCATTTGGTAGGCAAAGGAGTAGAGGTGGGAATGGGCTCTCTCAGGGCCTTCAGAGCCCCTTCCCTGTGGGGTGGATGGGCAGACCCAGAAACAGAGTAGAGGGAGGGGTTGTCTTGGGTGGGCTTTCTAGGTGAGGCCTCTGCATGCTGGGAGGTGAGTCCTGACAAGGAGCAGCCCCCAGGGTCAAGACTAAGGAAGGGGATGGGATGTTGCTCCAAGGAGACCTCAATCTAAAGTCCTCTTGCCCCTGCCCAGGAGACACCCGGATCCTTCGAATGTACCTGTCCCCGTGGGTTTTATGGGTTGCAATGTGAGGTGAGTGGGGTGACATGTGCGGATGGACCTTGTTTCAATGGCGGCTTGTGTGTGGGAGGTACAGACCCGGATTCTGCCTACATCTGCCACTGCCCACCTGGTTTCCAAGGCTCCAACTGTGAGAAGAGGGTCGACCGGTGCAGCCTGCAGCCATGCCAAAACGGTGAGGTGGGGAGACCAGAACAGCAGGGATGAGGGTGAGGGTCACTCCATGGTCAGTGTGCAAGAGCAGGGCTTGGTTCAGACAGTCCCGGGTGAGAACCGTGCCTTTGCCTTCTTTAGCCCCAGGGCCTGGAGAAGTGCCCCTCTTCCCAGCCTCACTTTGTTCTTTTATCAAATGGGTCAGGTAATATTCCTATCTCATAAATATTTATTGAGCATCTACAATGTGCTAGACTTTGTTCTAGGCCAGTGATGGCGAACCTTCTGAGCTCGGCGTGTCAGCATTTTGAAAAACCCTAACTTAACTCTGGTGCCGTGTCACATATAGAAATTTTTTGATATTTGCAGCCATAGTAAAACAAAGATTTATATTTTTGATATTTATTTTATATATTTAAATGCCATTTAACAAAGAAAAATCAACCCAAAAAATGAGTTCATGTGTCACCTCTGACACGTGTGTCATAGGTTTGCCATCACTGTTCTAGGCACTGGGAATGAAACCAAAGCCCCTGCCCTCATAGAGCTGATGGGGCAAATAAACAAGATAAATAAGTAAATGTGTGCGAGGTTAGATGGTGATAAAAATAAGAAAAATAAAGCCAGAAAGGGAATGGGGAGTATAGATGGGGTGGAGGCCGGTTGACATTTTAGCTAGAATGGTTAGGGAAGACCTTGCTGAAGGTAGTGAGGAAGGGAGCAATGTGGGATCTGGGGAAAGATTATGTTCCAGGCAGAGGGAAGAGCAAGTTGTAAGGGCCCTGAGTTAGGAATGTGCCAGGTGTGTTGAGGATCTCAGGGAAGCCAGTGTGGTTGAAGCAGTGAGTGAGAGATGAGGTCAGGAAGGTGACCAGGACAGATCCTATGGAATTTCCTGGGCCACGGGGGAGGATTCTGGTTTCATCCAGAAAAAGAGCCACAGGAGATGTCTGAGTAGTGGAGAGACCTGATTTGAACTAGGTGCTTCAAGTTTTAATATGAATGTAAAGAGCTTGGTGCATTTTTATTATAACTAATTCTCACCAAAACACTGAGTATTCATTCTGGGCTGTGTGATACTAAGGACACAGCAGTGACCAGGACAGCTCTGGGCCCTGCCTTCATGAAGGTATCAGTCTAAAGGGGAAGACAGAGAAGAGTCATCCTCAGCTACAGCTCAGAGTAGTCATGGGGAGTGCAGGACAGGGATGGAGGGAGAGTCCCGGAGGGCTTCCTGGAGGAGGAGACACCTGAGCACAGACCTGAAGGTAGAGCCCTGGAGGAGAAACCTGAAAAGAAGGAAGGGAAAAGGGAGAAGGCCTGGGCAAAGGCCAGGTGGTCCAGACCCATCGTTCTGGCCGATAGAAAAAGAGAGACACAGGCAGCCGACAAGGTGAGGCTCAGTTAATCCAAGATTTCACCAGAGGGCAAGCAGCTCCAAGCACACTCCTAGCGGCTGGCCCTGGAGTTAGATGGAGAGACACAGGGAAACCAGAGAAAAGGTGAGGGTGGGGCTTACTAGGCTGAGAAACTACCGGGCGGTTAGGGGAGACCCTCTCCCGGGCTGCGCCCCTCACGCCCCTCCTCCACAGGCGGGCTCTGCCTGGGCCTC